ATTTTTACAAATCGTATTTTAAATGTGTACAAACGTTTAGCTTATGCTGAATACTGCGATCTCAGGTTTACACATTCAATTTTAAACATAAAGATAACCGTTTGCTTGAATTCACAGTTAAGTAAAGGAAAATGAGCGCACATACGTTAACTGTATCTTAGCTTGACCGACAAATACATACAATTGCAATTGAGCCTTCTCTGCCAAATCACGTTGTAACTTTCGATTTTCTTCAGTATCTTTTAAAACGAAATCCGCACTGACTTTCCGATCCCATGAACTACTCCAGCCCTGAAAATGCACCTTGTATTGAATTGTCTTGCGACCTCGCTTATCCTTCGTTTCGTACGTTCCGAGAATCTAAACAAACGCAATATGAACATATACAATGAACATACAAAAAAAAACTCATTTGTGAAATGTTTTACCTTAGAATCATACAAGACTTTGGCCTTCGATGGATCTGGCTCATAACACAAAACTTTCTCACCTTTCTCGAAATAACGAGATTTAGGTCCGCGTGTTGAAACCATCACTTATTTATCATTTCAGTGAACAAGCAAAAATAAATTATATTTAACAGCACTGAAAATTACAATTTCTTCAATAAATTTCATATTCAATTCCACACACATGTCAACATAAATAAATTAATAGAAATTTTGCAGCGCTGCCAGAAACAGAAACATTGCATACATGATATAAGTGAACACATTCAATTCAAAAAAAATTAAAAATAAATGAAGTAATTAAATGGATGACGCAATTTTGTAACTATGGCAATGTTTATTTTATTTATTTTATTTATTCCACTTATACTAGAAACTCAACTAAACAAATAACAGTCGAGTTCAATAGGCTCTTAATGCAAAACTAATATTAATTAACAATAAAATTGAGTATAAGCATAATAAAACAAATAAGAAAAAAAAAATAAAAAGAAAAAAAAGCATGTACACTATCAGCATAGGAGCACACTTACAACCGGTACAAGACCAAATTGCAAATGAACCCCTAAGCCATCGCAAACATGCATAAGCCTGGCAACCGATAATAAATTGACAATAATTCACTTTCAAAACGTAACGACTTTTTAAGGATAAAAGCTAGTTTAAATACGACATAGGTGAATCGCGCGTATTAAGCAATGTTGCTTTAATGGACTTTAAAGAGTCCGATAACGAGAATAAGTGGTAGACGTCATTTAGGTTCTTAGGCAAACGACTCTGAGCGGATTGAACAGCTCATAATTAAATTTACACTGATTAAGCTTAACCAAGATAAAGTGCCTCGAGAAGCGGTTAGGGACATTAAAGCTTATTTCACCAAGTAATGAAGGCGAGGCAATAGCACCATTTATTACTTTAATTAGAAAGGAAACGCCAAGAACAAATCTACGTTTCTCAAGAGACGGTAGGGACAGCAGAAACGACCTATTTTCATACGGAGGAAGAGAGGCAATCGGATCCCAACCCAAATTTCTAAGAGCAAACAGCAAGAATTGCTTTTGAACAGATTCAATTGAATCTACGTAGCACCTATATGAAGGCGACCACACAACTGAGGCATACTCGAGTATGGGTCTAACCAAACACATGTACAGCCTTTTCGTAATGTAGGGATCATCATGCTCTTTGGACCACCTTTTTATAAAACCAAACGCGGACCTAGCTTGCTAATCGAGCGCTCAATATGCAAGTTAAAACGTAACCTATGGTCAAATAGAACGCCTAAATCTGTAATCGAATCGACGTCCTCCAACTTATGCGAATCTATGAAATACTGAGTAATGAATGACTTTCTTCTTGAGAATGAAATCTTCTTACATTTACTCAGATTTAGTTTCAGGAGATTCTAAGAGCACCATGCAACAAAATTATCCAAATCACCTTGAAGCTGATGTGATTGCGATTCAACAGAGAAGGAAGAAAACAGTTTCACATCATCAGCATACATTAAGATCTGGCTGGAGATCGTTAATGTATAAACTAAATAAAATGGAACCTAAGTGACTTCCTTGAGGTACGCCAGACGTAACGGGGAATTCATCCGAGGTAATGGAGTTAAACAAAACCCTGAAGGATCTATTGTGCAGACAAGAGCTTATCCATTTCACTAAGTAAGGTGGGAAACCAGAGGCTTGGAGTTTAAAGATAAGTAGTCTATGGTTAACCATATCAAATGCTTTGCTTAAATCAGTGTAAATAATATGTGTGCGAGAGCCACTAGAAAAAGCCTTGAAAACATGACAGGTAAACTCTAACAAGTTGGTGACTGTAGATCGCCCTTTCCGAAAGCCGTGCTGGTGCGGAGAAATATACGAATTAATGGCAAAGGAGAAATGCTGAGTCACAATACGCTCGAACAACTTGGGCAAAACACTCAACTTGGCTATGCCTCTGTAGTTCTCAACAAATTGTCTACTTCCACTCTTGTGGATAAGAATAAGGAAACTACTCTTCCAACATGAATGGAAAACACCTGAATACAAGGACATGTTAAAAATCTTTGAGATCACACCACACAATTCGACAGCGCAAGATTTAAGTACACATGATGGAATTCCATCAGGTCCAGGCGAACAACTGCATTTTAGAGAACTCAACCCTTTGAAAATATCATCTTCCGAAATAACCAAGTTAGGTATTGAAACCGAGTTAGTTATAGGATATGGGTAGTTTGCTGATAAATCGAAATTAGCAATCGCAAAATTTCGTCGGAAATACTCAGCAAATAGATTTGAGATTTCAAAATCATCCGAGGAATCAGAGCCATTAAAAGAAACATGAGAGGGATATGTGGAAATTTTTCTTTTAGAGTTAACAAATTTAAAGAAGAATTTAGGATTAGCAAACAGAGAGGATTTAATGAACTGATGGTATCTGCAGTAATAATGATGGTTGAGGGAGTTAAATCTATGCCTCGCCACCGAGTAAGCGACATAATCGAGCGCAGAGCCACTTTTCGAATATTTTTTGAATAGCGAGTTTTTTCTATTCTTGTGATATTTAATTGTCTTATTAAGCCACGGGGGACATCTGCTTCGAGGTCGACAATGCTTGATCGGAACAGATGCAGCAATAGCTAGATTTAATGTATTGTAGAACAATGGCAATAAGCTTTCAATACTACCGGTTGAGAAATCAAGCGTCAGATGTGAAAGACGATGTTTTAGTAATACAATATTGATTTTATGAAAATCATAATAATTATTTAAAAAAGTTTGATTTGGCACATTAAGGCATTTCAACAAACCATCATTAATATGATGAAAGGAAGTGCATATTGATGGATGATAAGGATCCTCAGGTAAACTAAAAGGTGGACAACGATTTACGTAAATCTCGGGAAAATTGGCAAAGCAGAGATCAAGCAGTCTACCATCACAATTAGGGGTACGATTATATTGACCCAAATTATGATTAAACAATTCACTAAAGAACACAACAGCCCTATCAGACGTTGAAGTAGGAACCAAACAGATAGAATTATCAGTGTTACACCAAGTGACTTGAGGCAAATTGAAGTCACCCAATACAACGACCAAATCGGTGGGTCTAGACCGCTTGGCCACTTGACAAATGAGGGCATCGTGTTTCCTGTAAATGGAGATATCAGAATTTGGGGGAATATAGGAGCAGGTTATAAATAGATGTTTATCAGGCATATTCGCACGAATAGCGATAAATCCAACGTCAGGAGAAGTGGGAAATTCAATTAAATTGGACGGGACTGACGCAGATATGGCAGTTAATACACCACCACCAATGCGATTTACTCGATCATTTCTAAACACTTGGAAAGAATTATGAAAAAGTTCCGACGACCCGACAAGGTGTATATAAACACTCCATGTCCTGTCAAAAAGACAGTTGTTGATTATGAAGAACAGACACACAAATCACTAAAAAAAATCCTGAACATAAAAATTTATCAAGCAATTTGTGCAAAACTTCTCTGTTAGGTTAACACTGTAACGAGAGATCACTAGCAACACAAACTCCAAACAGCAAAAAAATAACAGAGAAAAAGAGAGAAAACAAAAAAAAAAAAGAGAGATTTTTATCAGAGCTCAAAATTTTTGTTTGCAAAAATCAAATGAATCAAAGCGTAAAAGAAAAATATTTCTTTTACTTTGAATTCACTCACTTTCTTCTCAAAGTATATTATAAAATCACACACTATAAGGCAAAAAATTAAAATTTTAATTGCCGAAACAAAATATATACGACCATACCGCGCGACAGAGTTGCCAGACTAATGTTGACCAACACATTGTCTTTGTGTCACTCAATTCCAGCATATTGCTAATGCGCTGCTACGGATTACAATGTTTACTAGAACATTCCATTTAAAGGTGAGTTTGTATGCTTTGTGTAATTAATTAAACGCAAGCACATTTCTTGCTTGAGATGTAAATAGAAAATTAATGGATTATTTTTGTTAATAATATCAATAATACTAATAACATTTCTTACTCTATTTTCATTCATGGAAGAAATCGATTAGAAAAGCCAAAAGATGCCATCGAGCCCTCGTTATCGAAGAACTATGCTCAAATGGCAATACAAAGCCATTCTGGAAATTTTTAAATGGTCATCGCACCACAAAAAAGAAATACAAGCACCCCATTTGGGATGATCTCAACAACAAATCCTACCTTGAATGGCTGAAAGCTCAAGTTCCCTCGACATGTGGTCTCCAAACCTCCTTACTTAACTCTCGGATGGAAAACATCTCTCCATTCTCCCTTGATGAACTCATGCACGTCCTTAAGTCGAAAAAGAAGTCCACAGCAGCAGGCCATGACGGAATCAAATATGAAATGATAAAGGTCCTTCCCATGCCAAGCCTTCTAACCCTGCTATCTGCTATAAATGAGCGCTGGATGACCAACTCGTTTCCCACCGTTTGGCGTACACTTAAAATAGTGCCCATTCCTAAACCCGGAAAAGATCTTGAAATATTCACCAACTTCAGACCCATATCCCTCTTGCCTGTTCTTCTAAAAATTACCAACCAAATGATTAAAGAAAGACTAACAAAATTCCTGAATCACTCACACCTTCTCCCGTCAAGGTCCTTTGCTTACCAAAAAAATATCTCCACCGGTATGTGCCTTAATGAAGTCCTTTTCACAATTGCAAATGAAAAAGCAAATGGGAACCAGGTAGTCATGCTTTGCTTAGACATTAATAAAGCTTACGACTGTGTAAACTTAGCGAAACTGGACCAAATTCTATCTGATTTTAAAATCCCGACACAAAATAGGCATTGGGTTCTCAACTTTCTTTCCTCGAGAACTCTCGTATTAGATTCACATACAGTCGAAGTTTGTGGAGGCTTACCTCAAGGTAGCTGTCTCAGCCCAGTTCTCTTCAATTTATACACAGCCGGTTTACATCAATTACAGGACAATTCTACCCATTTATTTCAATATGCTGACGATTTCCTCATCATCTCTGCTGGAAAATCATTAATGGAAGCAGTCCGTAACCTCGACACTAAAGCCAATCTTTTTCACAAACTTTGTGCAGACTTAAATCTAACTTTCAACCCGGAAAAATCAAAAGTCGTTCGCTTTGCTAAGGGTCCCAAAAAAATTTTTTACATTACAATCAATAGTATAAAAATCAGTCCGTCTTCCTCTTTTAAATTTTTGGGCAGAATAATCAACTCAAGTTTAACCACGCATGAGCATTACAAGGATAGCCT